AGCTGTCTCCCATCACCAGGGTACCTTGGTCCTCTCTAAATCTCTACCCTTTTTCACATTCCTCATCAGGTGTTTTAGGATGTCACTGGGAAGCCATCAAGGCAAGAGAGAATTCTTGTTCTAGCCCAGAGTTTTGAGAAAATAGAGGGAAGTGAGATCAGAAAGGTCACAATGACTTAAGATGGAAACCTTTCCACCCTTTAGGCTTGCAGACCGCCTTCTGTTCCAGAGCCCCAGAGAAATCCATGACCCTGAGAGTCTGAAGGACCCAGCTGTGGTTCTTCCACTTAGATCTCAATTCTCTTCCTTCTCCAGGGGCAGCCTTAGTTCCCATGGCCCTGAGACACACACACATTTCCTCCTTCCTTTCCTAGCACCCACTAGCCCCCAAAAGCACCCAGTGCATTCTTACAAGTGGAAGAACAAGGAAGGCCTTCTTAAGTCTCTTAGAAATGAAGTTCTTGCTCTGTGCAACTTTCTCTGAGAACAGGAGTGGAAATGTTGCATTGCCTTGGGGCTGGGGAGCCATTTCTCCAGGTCTCTTCTCCTGTCCGCCCCCGGGAGGAACAGGATCGGTCTCAGCTTCTGGGCCCGTCTTCTGCCTGCCTTTGCGCTCACCAGCTCTGGACCTTCCTTTGAGCTCTGTTCGGCTTGGAGACACTTAGTTTTTATTTCCAGCTTTTCTTTTTCTTCTTCTCATCACTTTTTTTTTTGCCAGGGTTGGGGGGTAGTTTTTATTTTTTTGGAGTTTTTTTGTTTCTAAGAAAGCGTTTGCCTTTTCCCCCCTTTCCTCCTCCTTTCCCAACATAACAATCATGGTGACAGAATGTGACTGCTGATGTAATGATGTATTAATGTAAGTAAAGAAGGAAAAAAAGTGTACAAAGAAAAGAATATAATACATATTTATTTGTTTCCAGCCATTGCAGAATTTTACTGTTTCACAGAGACAAATGCTAAAAAGTCATATACATGAGAAATTATAACTTTTCATCATTTATTCTATTTGTAAAATTTTTATCCTGGTTTCTGTGGATTTCTTTGAGATGCTATATATTTTAACTAAAATATAATATATTATTCAGTATTTAAAAAGAGAACATATATCTAAAATCATGGAAGACTGAAAAAATCCATACTATATTTTATTAATTACGATACAAAAATGATAGCCATATATTTATACTAATTCCTTAAATAAACTGTTTTAAACCTCTTACCTGAAACACTGGAAAACTGAACTGCATCACAGAAATATTTAATGTTATAAGGGGAATACTCCACTTTAATATTACCTCCATTAACTTGTTACTTAAAAGGTGCACTGTGCCATCACTACCAACTAACATAAAAACAGTGAGATCAGGAACATAGGGCAGGTAACTACATGCTAACATTTTGAACATTCAAATGTAGACTGACCAAATATTTTATTTGCAGCTTAAAGAATGTTTCTTTTTTGCCAAGACAGCTTTCATTATCATTAGATTCTACTGATTTTTCAGAAACAGAGCTGCTCCACACTGAATCCACTGGTCTTGGTCGCTCCCGCATGGAACATCGATGTTGGTCACCACACGATCCCTTTCCGCACTTGCGTAAATAGGCAAAGACATGCACTCATCAGGAGAATAGGGGCCATAAGCACCCTGTTGGAAAAGAATTAATTTGGTTTTAAAATAGAGCAATGTACAGTTTTGAGGCAGATCATTAGATAACCAAAGATAAAAGTGAAACCCTCCCAAATTACATTTGATATTTTATTATGAAATAATAAAGGCCAGCATAATAAATCCGCATTAAGTAACTCCACACTATCCAGCTGCAACAATCATCAGCTCGTGGCCGGTTGTTTCATTTACAGCCTTTGCCTACTGCCAAATACTGGATGGAGTATTTTGAACCTATTACCACACATGACAATATTAATAATTCTTCAGTATCATCTTATATCCATTATCTCATTATTCTTTTTTTTTTAGAGACTTTTTTGTTAGAACCATGATTCAAATAAAGCCCATACTTTGCAGTCTGTTGCTGTGTCTTAGGTTTCCTAAACGTTATCGGTCTTTCCTCCTTTTTTCTCACAATTTGTTTTCTGAAGAAACTATATCAAAGAGTTCCCCAGGGTTACATGTGCATGGTTTCATGCTGTTCTGTTTGCTGTATTCTTGTAAACTGGATCAGGAGGTGAACTCAGATTGAGATGATTTTTGGCAAAATCGATGCATTCTTCTATCAAGAGACATATGATCTGATGTTGGGACATCTCTCTTTTAAGGTATTACGAGTCATTGATGAGCATTATTACATTCAAGATTACAAAATGATAATCTAATTCTATCATTCCTCTTTCATTCCCAGGCAGAAATACATCTATAAAGGGAAACTTCCACTTACCAATCTTTTGATTACCATGAGGTACAGTTCATATAGGAAAGGCTGGATAAATGCTAGTTTCCCTTTATTTATGTGCTTTCAATGAATTTGTTCCCTAATATACTGTAAAGGCAATCAGTGACTACCCTGACTTCATTTTAAAATTATCACTATAAACTGGTGGACTTCAACATATTTTGTGTGTTTCAATCCAATATAATTATCATCTTACTGATGTTCAAATTTTAAACCTTTGTGCAGTAGGAAATTTTTAAGCAGGCTCTTGATTTGCTTTTGTTCTTGATATTTCACTAGTTGTCCTTAACAGCTTCCTGCTGTCTAGTATGCCAGGATGTAACATAGCTTGTCTTACACACTTCCTGTCTCAGAAATCAAAGTAGTCATTACTTGGAGGATCCTTGGTTTCTTGAATGGTAACTGGTATTAGTGATAGTAAGCTGGGTGCTGGGAATGATCTATCATTCTCCTTCTAGGACTTTTCAGTGACTGGTGATTAGAAATACATATTTTTTTTACAAGAAAAAACACCATGAATTCATAATAGTATTTCTAATTCAAATTTAGGATTAATGTTTTTACTGAATTTACATAATTGTATTCAGTGAATGGATTATTTCTTAAGAGTTGGGACGAAACTTAAGAGAAAAGTTAGACTAATTCTGGAATCTTACAAGTGATGAATCAGCAACCACAGAGAATTCCCCAGGGTAACCTAGTTAGGAAGTGGCAAAGTTGCCGTAGAGAGTGCAGTTGAGAAAAGGTTTTGGCATATGAGTAACACCACCTAAAGACTGTTATTATGCTGCTTTTCAAAAAAGACAATAGCATTTGTGGAAATAAATTATTTTCAGGCATTGGAATATTTATTTGTCTAGGAGCGCCTCACCCTAAGTAGATTACTCTCTGTGCCTCAGTTTCTCTATTATAAAAGGGAGATAAACACACTTGTCCACTTAACAGGATGGTAAAAGAATCTGATGATGTACTAAAAGCTTAAATATAAAGTATTATTTATCCATGTATCTCTAATTCTTTTGGCTACATATGTATTCCTTTTCTTTTTTCCCTACGTAATTCTCAACTCAACTAGGAAAAAAACCCCAGCTTTTTAAAATCCACTACATGTCATAGATGGTGCTAGGATAAAAGTAATTTTTTTCTCTCCACCTGGAAAAATTTAAAACAAACATTCTATTTTTAAGTCTAAGTGGTCATTATAAGAAATTTCAGCTATTTTTTTCCTATCTCCATGTCTCTCACACACACATTCATTCCAAATCTTAACCTGATTTACATATAAAAGAATTCATTCTTTATGAAGATTCACTGTCCAGATAAATAAAAAGATGACTTTTTCCCCCTGAATCTTCCTAATTTTTCTGTTTCAATTGATGACTCTGTCATTCATCCATTTTATGTGCTGATGGTGTGCCCAGAATTTACAAAGGCTAAGCATTAAAACATTCACCCAAATGGAAAAAATGATAATCTTTGAAGCACAAAGTTCAGGAAACTATAATCAAATACATAGAAGTAATTATTGGAAAATGATTATTTTAGAAAATCAAAATAAACAAAATACTACTGAGATAAGTTAGCCTGACAAGGACAAATAGAGAATGAATCATGAGTTCGGTCTCAGAAAAAATACAGGATTTGGAGTAAAGAGAATTTTCAACCATTATTTGTCACTGACTAATCTCTTCTCTCTTCCCCAATTCTGCTTAAATGGCAAAGCTTTAGGATTCAGAAATTCCTGTAATTTCCATACCTCCTTAGCCATTACCTAAAGTTAATAACCTAATGCAGACTTTCATTAGGTGTTACCTTTAAACTCTTTAGCAAAGAGCACACGAACGTTACATGTTTGTTGGACAGAAATGATATGAACCTATGAATGCTTATTTATAATCCAAGGAAAGGTCTTAAATTATCTTCTTCTGCCACCTGATATTTGCTTTGCTTCTCATAACTATGGTCAAAAATGAAAAATATTGAAATGTTTTACAATGTTATGCTTTTCTATTCAGAAGATTTTTCTCTGTATCTCTTCATTTTACAGCCAAGCAATTTTCTCTTTAAATTAGAAATTACTCAACAGTAATGTAAAACTTATTTTTTGCATGTTCACTAAAAATGATTTTGTATATACTTCTATCCTTCCCAACCTGCTTTTGATTGTGGGCTTTTTGTTTTAAAGTGAGGGTACAAATCTTTCTACCAAACCTACAGTGGTTTTAAAGCAAAGCACCACAAAAATTGCTTGTTAAAGTCTGCTTCTTAAAATTTTGCTTGTCACTTCTCAAAGTCTCTTAAATGGTGGATGCTGTAATGTTCTGTAGAAAAGTTTAGTGGACTTGCTCTTAGGTCACCAATAAATGATTGAAGTAGCAGAGCAAAGTACTGTGGAACTCTCACTACTAGCACAGTACCTTGTGCAGACAGAAGTTCCATGAATGTTGTTTAACTGAATTAAATTCTTATGACACAATTCCCTCTTTAATATCTTTCTCTTAACAGCAAATCCTAAGACCCTTCTGAGCTGAAATATTTGGATGAAACTAAAATTTTATTAACCATCTACACATACAATTGTTTCTTTTTTGCCAAGACAGCTTTCATTATCATTAGATTCTACTGATTTTTCAGAAACAGAGCTGCTCCACACTGAATCCACTGGTCTTGGTCGCTCCCGCATGGAACATCGATGTTGGTCACCACACGATCCCTTTCCGCACTTGCGTAAATAGGCAAAGACATGCACTCATCAGGAGAATAGGGGCCATAAGCACCCTGTTGGAAAAGAATTAATTTGGTTTTAAAATAGAGCAATGTACAGTTTTGAGGCAGATCATTAGATAACCAAAGATAAAAGTGAAACCCTCCCAAATTACATTTGATATTTTATTATGAAATAATAAAGGCCAGCATAATAAATCCGCATTAAGTAACTCCACACTATCCAGCTGCAACAATCATCAGCTCGTGGCTGGGTGTTTCATTTACAGCCTTTGCCTACTGCCAAATACTGGATGGAGTATTTTGAACCTATTACCACACATGACAATATTAATAATTCTTCAGTATCATCTTATATCCATTATCTCATTATTCTTTTTTTTTTAGAGACTTTTTTGTTAGAACCATGATTCAAATAAAGCCCATACTTTGCAGTCTGTTGCTGTGTCTTAGGTTTCCTAAACGTTATCGGTCTTTCCTCCTTTTTTCTCACAATTTGTTTTCTGAAGAAACTATATCAAAGAGTTCCCCATGTGCATGGTTTCATGCTGTTCTGTTTGCTGTATTCTTGTAAACTGGATCAGGAGGTGAACTCAGATTGAGATGATTTTTGGCAAAATCGATGCATTCTTCTATCAAGAGACATATGATCTGATGTTGGGACATCTCTCTTTTAAGGTATTACGAGTCATTGATGAGCATTATTACATTCAAGATTACAAAATGATAATCTATCATTCCTCTTTCATTCCCAGGCAGAAATACATCTATAAAGGGAAACTTCCACTTACCAATCTTTTGATTACCATGAGGTACAGTTCATATAGGAAAGGCTGGATAAATGCTAGTTTCCCTTTATTTATGTGCTTTCAATGAATTTGTTCCCTAATATACTGTAAAGGCAATCAGTGACTACCCTGACTTCATTTTAAAATTATCACTATAAACTGGTGGACTTCAACATATTTTGTGTGTTTCAATCCAATATAATTATCATCTTACTGATGTTCAAATTTTAAACCTTTGTGCAGTAGGAAATTTTTAAGCAGGCTCTTGATTTGCTTTTGTTCTTGATATTTCACTAGTTGTCCTTAACAGCTTCCTGCTGTCTAGTATGCCAGGATGTAACATAGCTTGTCTTACACACTTCCTGTCTCAGAAATCAAAGTAGTCATTACTTGGAGGATCCTTGGTTTCTTGAATGGTAACTGGTATTAGTGATAGTACGCTGGGTGCTGGGAATGATCTATCATTCTCCTTCTAGGACTTTTCAGTGACTGGTGATTAGAAATACATATTTTTTTTACAAGAAAAAACACCATGAATTCATAATAGTATTTCTAATTCAAATTTAGGATTAATGTTTTTACTGAATTTACATAATTGTATTCAGTGAATGGATTATTTCTTAAGAGTTGGGACGAAACTTAAGAGAAAAGTTAGACTAATTCTGGAATCTTACAAGTGATGAATCAGCAACCACAGAGAATTCCCCAGGGTAACCTAGTTAGGAAGTGGCAAAGTTGCCGTAGAGAGTGCAGTTGAGAAAAGGTTTTGGCATATGAGTAACACCACCTAAAGACTGTTATTATGCTGCTTTTCAAAAAAGACAATAGCATTTGTGGAGATAAATTATTTTCAGGCATTGGAGTATTTATTTGTCTAGGAGCGCCTCACCCTAAGTAGATTACTCTCTGTGCCTCAGTTTCTCTATTATAAAAGGGAGATAAACACACTTGTCCACTTAACAGGATGGTAAAAGAATCTGATGATGTACTAAAAGCTTAAATATAAAGTATTATTTATCCATGTATCTCTAATTCTTTTGGCTACATATGTATTCCTTTTCTTTTTTCCCTACGTAATTCTCAACTCAACTAGGAAAAAAACCCCAGCTTTTTAAAATCCACTACATGTCATAGATGGTGCTAGGATAAAAGTAATTTTTTTCTCTCCACCTGGAAAAATTTAAAACAAACATTCTATTTTTAAGTCTAAGTGGTCATTATAAGAAATTTCAGCTATTTTTTTCCTATCTCCATGTCTCTCACACACACATTCATTCCAAATCTTAACCTGATTTACATATAAAAGAATTCATTCTTTATGAAGATTCACTGTCCAGATAAATAAAAAGATGACTTTTTCCCCCTGAATCTTCCTAATTTTTCTGTTTCAATTGATGACTCTGTCATTCATCCATTTTATGTGCTGATGGTGTGCCCAGAATTTACAAAGGCTAAGCATTAAAACATTCACCCAAATAGAAAAAATGATAATCTTTGAAGCACAAAGTTCAGGAAACAATATAATCAAATATATAGAAGTAATTATTGGAAAATGATTATTTTAGAAAATCAAAATAAACAAAATACTACTGAGATAAGTTAGCCTGACAAGGACAAATAGAGAATGAATCATGAGTTCGGTCTCAGAAAAAATACAGGATTTGGAGTAAAGAGAATTTTCAACCATTATTTGTCACTGACTAATCTCTTCTCTCTTCCCCAATTCTGCTTAAATGGCAAAGCTTTAGGATTCAGAAATTCCTGTAATTTCCATACCTCCTTAGCCATTACCTAAAGTTAATAACCTAATGCAGACTTTCATTAGGTGTTACCTTTAAACTCTTTAGCAAAGAGCACACGAACGTTACATGTTCGTTGGACAGAAACGATATGAACCTATGAATGCTTATTTATAATCCAAGGAAAGGTCTTAAATTATCTTCTTCTGCCACCTGATATTTGCTTTGCTTCTCATAACTATGGTCAAAAATGAAAAATATTGAAATGTTTTACAATGTTATGCTTTTCTATTCAGAAGATTTTTCTCTGTATCTCTTCATTTTACAGCCAAGCAATTTTCTCTTTAAATTAGAAATTACTCAACAGTAATGTAAAACTTATTTTTTGCATGTTCACTAAAAATGATTTTGTATATACTTCTATCCTTCCCAACCTGCTTTTGATTGTGGGCTTTTTGTTTTAAAGTGAGGGTACAAATCTTTCTACCAAACCTACAGTGGTTTTAAAGCAAAGCACCACAAAAATTGCTTGTTAAAGTCTGCTTCTTAAAATTTTGCTTGTCACTTCTCAAAGTCTCTTAAATGGTGGATGCTGTAATGTTCTGTAGAAAAGTTTAGTGGACTTGCTCTTAGGTCACCAATAAATGATTGAAGTAGCAGAGCAAAGTACTGTGGAACTCTCACTACTAGCACAGTACCTTGTGCAGACAGAAGTTCCATGAATGTTGTTTAACTGAATTAAATTCTTATGACACAATTCCCTCTTTAATATCTTTCTCTTAACAGCAAATCCTAAGACCCTTCTGAGCTGAAATATTTGGATGAAACTAAAATTTTATTAACCATCTACACATACAACTAAATGCTCAACTAATGCAAAACAGGAGATATATTAGGAAGATTTCAAATAATGTTATATGACATGTAATTTGACATTAAAATTTAATGATTTAAAAATCTACATATTATAATGAACCTAAAGTAGTTAATGTGTTCATAGACCCTACTTTATTAGAAGAGAAACTTGTCTAGTTAGCTTAGTTCATAATAATGAGGGTAAAGTTTTCAATTTCATACTCATGCCCCTGCCCCAGATAAAGTGACTTAAAAATACTACAAATAGCAGGCAATATACTAACATTTAAAGAAGACAATGCATTTTACAAAGGCAAATGGTGATATTTGGTGTCACTTAGTCAGAAGAGCAAAGAAAATAACAAAATAACACCAGAAAACCAAAACAAAACAAAATTACCAGGTTGATTATGTTAACTATCTGGCCAGTTATCAACTCAATTTCACTACAAAAAAATACATATGAAGGTAAAGCAAAATACATTTCTCATCAGTTTATGTATAAAGTCCAACTAACTTATTCTAACACATACTTTCTGAATGTTTATGAATCCAGTCAATAAACAGCTATTTTTTAGAAAAGGAAATGTTAGGAAATCAGAGCTTTAATATACATAAAAGTGGAATAACTTAGTAACGTGACTCTTGAAAAATCTCAAAACAGGAAACACAACAACTTACCAACAATGACTATTTTGAAAGACTTAGTTCTGTCGAGAATGTCCAGCTACTCTTTCAAATGTATTTTGGCAGAGAAATACTTCCCTTGTATTTTTTAAAAATACGATGCTAACAACATTGCTTTTATAATAAGTCCTTAAGGAAAAAAGGACTGTCACATAGAAAAGATATTAAATATTTATTATTTTTAAACAAGAATGCATACAAGGCAGAGCTTTCAGCATATACTTTCTGATAAAATGATCTATTTTAATATATATAAAAGTAATATAAAGACTTTTTGTGAGTAGCATGTGGAATCATTTTATAGCCATATTTTCTTTGGGAATTAAATTGTTTCTGAAGTTGAATTCTCAACTGTGGTTCCTGTTGGAAGGTCTAGGCAGTGGGGTTCAGGCTGATTCAAGTCTTCTCTGTTACCACGGGGCTGATAGACCCTAAGTAGCATTCTTTAATGGAAAAACAGAACAAGGGCAAACTGAGTTCCTGTGGGATATCAGAACAAGGACGGCATCATCTAAGACTGATCTACCGCCTAAGCAGTGTTTCCCACACTATTACATGGAACACTAGACCCAGATGAAGGACGGAGAGTAGAGGCATCAAAAGGTGTCAGGTGATCTTTGAGACTTCTCAGAGTTTTTAATATTGTAAAATACAACATGAATTCCAAGGGCAGGGAATACCGGGTTTATTAAATTTGTTTACTAAAGAATAATTTTTCACAGAGAATAGTTTTTGGGAAATACTTTGGAGAAAGTGAATGCTTTTTTGGGTAAAATCCCTTAAGGGTATCTTAATTTGGATCCATATTAATTTAACCAGCAGTATTGAACTGGAACTGGAGCAATGTTAAGAATCTGCATCACAGTGGAATGAATGCATAAGTGAGTAGTGTGAGTACAGGCCGTATCATCTTAGTGCACAGAGATAACGGTAAATGCAATTAGTAGGAAAACATTTTCACCAGCATTTCACTTTTAAGTCTCCTTGAGAATTCCTAATTCTAACTTCGTTAGTTGGCAGACATTGCGTTTATAATAGAAGCCGTGGTAGAGCTCCCTCCTCTCCTCAGTGAAAGTTTTATTGCTCGTGTCCTTTGTTAAGTATTAGCAGGTATGAAACCAATGTCAAAGAAGTCCTTTGATCTTCTGCAACCTAAAATGTTCTTTAAAAAATGGAGGTGTAATCTACCCAAAGCAATATTGTACAAATACTGGGTTGCTGGGCATGTTTCTGGTGAAGTGAAGCTATTCGGGACTATTAGGGGTCAGGTAATATTGTGGAAATTATTTGATCCAACTTTATCAAAGGATTCTGGACTTTCTCCAATACAGTAGCTACCACAGTAAATGGCAAAAGCAGTTCTTTTTACTGGCTTATATACATTGATGTTGATGCTTCTTTCTTTTTTATGCTGGTTCCTTCCCTCCTAGTAAAATGCATTAAAATGTTTATGTTCCTCCCCAACCTTCAGATCTGTGAAACTTATTCAAAATATTTACAGTTGCTCTAAAAAAAAATGCTTTCTTGAACAAAATAGTGCTTAACTCAAGCAGAAGTTGGAGACTTTAGTAGTTTATACAGAGTTGGCAAATTGTTATATAAGGGGCCATATAGTATTTTCATATTTATGGTTCATAAGGTCTCTGACATAATTACTCAACTCTGCAGTCTAAAAGCTGTCCCAGTATCTACATAAATGGGCATGGCTGTCTTGCAAAGAAAACTTCATTTGTGAACACTGAAATATGAATTTCATATAATTTTCACATCATCACATATTCTAAGTTTTTCAATTGAAAAATGTAAAAAGCACTCATAGCTCGCATGGCGATGGGCTACATGAAAACAGGCAGCCTACTGGACTGGCCTGTGGATGGCAGTTTTCCAAACTGGTTTACACAGTTATACATTTAGATTGGCTCAGTATTTGGACCAAGATGTAAGAGAGAACTTGGATTTGAATCTTAGTTGCTTACCCAATAATGTTATCTTGGGAAAGTTACATGATCTTTTTAAGCTTCAGTTTTTCTAGTTTAAAATGAAGAGGATAATTCCTACTTAGAAATTTTTTGGAAGCTCTAAACATTTTGCATTGTAAATGCTTTGCACAGTGCTTGGTACATAAGCAATAAATATAAATGCTAAGTGTTATTGTTAAAACACTAGTGCTACCATTAAGGAACCCATAATAAAAATCACTTAATATGAGTTTCAGTTTCTTCATTAGTAAAACAAACTCAAACTCCACTCTACCAAACTCAAATGACTGCTATAAAAAGGGAAGTGTAATTGTATTTCACCGAGTCAATCATCCACCATTGACTGCTAAACTGATTTTCTGAAAATACAAATCTAATCTTACCACACTCTTGTTCTAAATTCATAATGGCTTTCTACTAACCCAAAGACAGAGGGATAAATTCTGAATCTTGCAATATCATGCTGCTTCTCATAGCACCCAGTAACAGACTGGCTCTGTGCATGATAACATGGCATTCAACTTATGGCCAATTACGTGGGTATTGCTCAGGTCATTTTCTTCTGCATTTACGTCTACCTAGTTATTCTCCATGTTCTATTTTTATTGCTGGGTTCCCGTAAGTGTGCCAATATAAACATGATCTTTTTTTTTTCTGTCAAGGTCATTATATGACTTTCAACTTTTTAGCCACAGAATTAACATTTCACACAATTTGGATTCATCTGAATTGACCTCTGTCATCATACACAACTTTATATGTTATAGTTATAACCCTTAGCAATTTACAATCTTAACTTTTATATATAACTTTCAATTTGGTTCACACACCTAATGTTTGTAATCCATGTTTTTCCAACTTTCTGATAGAAATTTCTTATAGGAATTAATAGCCAGATTGAAATAAAATTATTTCAACTTCTTCCTTCTCTGATATGCCACTCTAATACCACAGAAAATGAAGCTTATAAGGGGAAAAATGGAGGGTCTGACAGAAACAGATACTCTTTTAGACCAAAAGGTGCTCCTTCAGCGCTCTTGGCAATGACGTTTACTTCTTGCTGTAGCTTTATTAGTTGTTTTTTCAAAATAAATATTCTTATGCTTTTGATTTTTATTTTATAAAGAGAATTACAATCATTGCAAAATCCAATGCAAGATTTTCTAGTGAGAAGACTCATTTTCTTATAGTAAGTCATACATAAAATAGTTTTGTTGGTCATGAGCTATAGAATAAACCCCAAGTTACAGTTTTTAAAAGTTCTTTCAATAATTAAAGGTTTCAAAAAAGGGAAAAATTAACCGAGTAAGAGTAAGCATTTCTCAAGACTACTTTCTTCATCTGCCTATCAGCAGCATAGTGACACGGTATCAGATCAAAGCAGATTTACATTAACATCTTGATGCTGTCAGTTTCTGCATGCTTAAGTATGGAGAAGTTATCATACCTAGGTGAGCACACATTTCCTTATTTGAAAGTGAGAATAATATTATCTAACTTGCAGGGCTTCTCTGATGAGTATCTATCTATCTATCTATCTATCTATCTATCTATCTATCTATCTATCTATGTACATACATATATATATATATATATATATATATATATATAAAACATTTAGCACATGGCTGAAAATAATAAGAACACAACATATGGTAGTCCATATTGAGTGTTTTTTCTTACTAGGCTATAAATCATTTAGAAATTAAAAACTATAATATTCTTCCCATAACAAAATGAAGATTTTAAAATGTCTTATCACGGAAATTATAAAGGACACAATATTTTGATTGTAAACTTGTTCAAATTCAGGTAAGACTATAAAGTAAACAAAAAATATAAAGGTCAAGAATATATTATTGAAAAGATAAAAATCTAAGAATGAATTGGTTAAACTAAAACCTGTACCTATTAAAAATATATTACCTGTGGAATCCAGCCCATAAAACAAGGGGGGACTGATGACACAGTAGGAGAATCATGCTGATTTTCAGAAAGTCGATTTCCATCAAAACTGCATCCTTCCAGTAATAAGCCACTGATCTGCCATGGAAACATACAAACCATTCAAATATGTAGTCAAGCCTGAAATGTCAGGAGTTACAGAACTGTATCTAAAGAAAAAAGGTAACATTTTCTATTGTGACTATGTATTCCAAATAATAAGAAAACAAAGATTATAGTATTTTATCTGAGAATAAAAAAGGTGAAGACCTGCACGGGAGTTCACTGTAAACTTCCTTTAGGCTGAATTCTCAATATTAACCAATATTTTAGAAAAAAATACTTAACAAATGTCATCAGTTATATAACTGCAGGTGCCTTGTCATTAGATTAATAAAAATATAATGACAAAAGCCAAAAAGTTATTCTCCGGGAGGGGCAAAGAAAAAGCATAATTAGGGACTAACAACATGTGCTCCCTATTTGGAATTCTGAGATCATTATTTAAGAAAGAATAGGATAAAGTTCAGAAAGTTGAATGCAAGAATTCTTGATATGACATGCAGAGCTGATAGAATAAGGAAAGGAGAAAGAGTTAATCTCCTTTAAATTGATGTTAGTGTAAATTTAAGAAATTATGAAATGGAAATATAATTATTTTGGTAATATAAGTTTTATATTTATTTAATACTGCATAAACTAAAAGAATGAACACTTTTAATCTACCCTGAGTTTATCTAAAGGCAACAAATATTGGAGTCAGTACTTTGCATTGAGCCACAGCTGTATTCTCAGAACTTGATAGAAAACACGATCTTACAATGGTATATAGTACTTTTAAGTTTTAGTGATACTAAAAGTAAACTAAAGTACTACAGAATTTTACAGTCTAAGAGAACACTTTAAATTGGAAGATTTAAACTTGTTTTCAACTCTATGACAGTTCGGGAATGGTGTAGGTGTGCGGGAGTGCTGGGAGGGATGCCCTGACAAACAGTTCTGAACGGCTGATTTTACAGTCCAGTTGCTCTACCATGGGAAAGATAAGCAATGTCTTTGTCAGTAAAAGAGATGGAATAAAAACAGAATTACCAAATACCCAAGTTCAATATTCTTTCTACAATACCACTGATATGATGACATATAGACCTTGTCAAAGGTTATTTTAGCCTTGAAAAAAATGAAAATTAAAGTTTAGACAGTACCAGCTAACTTCAGTGGTAGAAACTCTTGAGGCAAAATAATTCTTCTAAGGCTTCTTTTAGAAATTTCATGAAGTTTTGAGCTTAATTAATCTGTGTGGAAATTTGTAAAAGTAGTCCCACTGAGAGTGCCGCAGCTTGATTATGTAATATGCATATGCGAGATAAACTTACCATTTTCCTCTCCTAACCAGGGAGCCAAGGGGTGAGAAACACTATTCTCTGGAGCTGTATTTAATAATTGGCACTACTGACCATGTAGTTGCTTAAGCGGACACATGGGAGACAGTCCAGGCTCCTTTTCCTGAACTTCGACATGTTATCAACTACCAAATCCTGCTACTTCCAATACACATCTTCCAAATCTGTCCATATTTCTCCACACCCTCTACCACTACCTATTTTGGAATTTAAAGTAAATCTGTGGAATTAAAAGACACTCTAGTTCTTGAAAATGAAAATGAAAACATAAGAATGTTTAAAAGCGATATGCTATTGTTTATATAATAAAATGATAATATATCAGAGATTGGGGTAGTATCAACAAATAGTACCTTTGTTCTAACTGGAGCTGCATTAAAGGAAGAGTAAAAGCAGGTAAGCCCCAAATATTACCTTTATCTCAGAAAAAGTCTGAAAAATATAGTAGGTCTCCAGCAAATGATTTCCTAATACGAAGCTCATGAATTTGGCAGGCTTAGCTCCTAGTTGTAACAGCACCACACTAAGCAGCCAGCTGTAGCAGGGCAGAGGCCGCCCTGGAGGAGTAGAGCGGACAGTGCGCCCCCCAAGAGGACACCACCAGGGAGGCAGCACCTGGCCCTGGGTTCCTGACTTAAACTCAATAATCAGATAAAGTGACTCCTTTCCTGGGAGGGGAGGAGAGATAATCTAGCAGTATCAACATTAGTAAATATCCTTTCACACAGAAGAAAACAACACAAACAGGAAGAATTCCCTATAACAACATATTTAAAATATTTTGAAAATTGCTTGATATATCGTAAGTGTGCAATAATGAGCTGTTACAGTTCATTTAATCTAATCCATTTTCTAATTTCTAGACACCTAGAATTATTTCCTATAGAGTATATCTATTTAAGTGAGGCAAAATAAATGTCTGAGTGGAAATTATTTAGATACATCCAATCAGAATACTTTTGCCTATAATATTAAACATTTATTAAATTATATTTAATATTTAACTTTGGAAAATACTTTTCAAATTTATTCCAGGTAATTGAGCCTAATCAATTTTTTCACTTAGACATCAAAGAGGTAACATATTAGAGTGTAGTTCTAATTTTATCAATGCTATATTTTCACTCCAAATAAATATAAAGCATATTAAAATGCTGTTTATACTTATACATCTATTTATAGAGCATACTTCATACTTTCTAATAAAAATTTTTTAGAAGTCTATTTTAGCCATTTGTACCATAACACATGCCATGTGTGCATAACACATATCACTTGATACAAAGAAATAATAATTGAGATCAGAGCTCATTTGTTTATATTTTATTAAAAGAACCACATTGGTGAGGCTGTCTCTTGATATCTGCAAGTAAATGTACTATTTGAGTCAAATGCAAATAATTAAGTGAAGGTATCTAAATGTGCATGTCTTGTAATCATTTCCTGTAATTTTGGTTTTGCTTATAAATACATAGATTTCTTCAATTCAACAGAAGAGAAACAATAAAATAATTAAACCAAAAAAAAATCAGTACTCAAATAATGTTATTTGCACTTGAACCTCTGATTAAAACATCTGAAAACAGAGGAGCAACTGCAAAAGTATGAGAAACAAAACATACATTTGACCTTGTTTACAGTTTCAAAACCACTTATTAAGGGATAGTGTGGATCAGGAAGACCACATAGTTTAAAAATATTCCAAACAACCACCATATCCCCCATCTATTTTGAAAGGGCTATTCATAAATATAAGATCTTATTCAACTCTCAGCTTCTTACCCCAAAAGGGGTTAGTAATAGTAACAGTGGTGACTGTTCACTGTAAACACACCTTTTACTCTGCTGGGCCCTACTTCTGTTCACCAATTCCTACTTCTAGACTTGTAGCTCAAGTGACCTGTATTTTCAGTTAATTAGTTTTGTTTTCTGTCCTGTTTCTGATGTAACAAAATACTTATATTATATTTGAAGCCAGACTGTGTTTGTGGTTTCCTCTTTTATATTTCATCTATCACTGTCATACATTTGGAACAGAGGGGATGAATCACAACGTCTCTGGGCCATCTCCACCAGAGGTTCTCAACTGTTTAAAATCAAAGTCAATCACATGATATAACTTAAAAGTGAGGAAAGGAAAATAGGTAGACAAATATCGTGGAGCGTAACTATATCTTTTAGAATGAAAGAAAACCAAAGTTTGTACTGACTATGTTAGATCCATTTAATTATAAAAAGTTTTGAGAAAAAAATTGCCCTAAAATAGTAAAATTAATCTGCATGATGGTTTCATAGGTATGCCTGCTTATTAAAAAATTTATAAAGTTGTACTCTAAAATGTGAGCAGTTTATTGTATGATGTTATACTTTGCTATAAAGGTTTATGAAAAAAAGATAGGTCAACATGAAGAGGCTCTACATAAAAGACAAAGTAGGTATAATTGCACATAAAAAGTGATAAATGCAATTTACTAAAACACATTAAATATGTAAGAAGCTCACACAACACTTAAAAACAAAGAAGAAATTTCATTGGACACTGAGGGAAACAGTGTTTCAATACCATAATCTGAATATCCCTAGTTTAAATGAAAAAAAAGTATTTGTTCCTTATTTCCTATATAAAATGTATTACATGATGTCCAGGTAACCAAGTAGACTTAGTTGATGATGCTCCTTAGCAGACCAATTCTAGCTAATAAATGTGGAAGGATTAACAGATTTAGAAAAATTAGTGTTGGAACTTGTACCGATTCAGCCCAGATCATCAATGGTTAAAACAGTTAACAGAAGAATGACAGGAAACCATACCATGAAGTAATCAGGCTTTCACAGCCTGTGCCCAGAGGTCAGTGTCAGCAGCAGCAAAAATAGGAAAACTACACATTGTGTGCCTTATTGTGTGCAAAGTGAAGCACACAGTACCACCTACCTAGTATTTTTGCTTAAAGAAAAGGAAAGCGAATCTAATCAGGCCTCTGGAACTGACTTCCATTTTATAAGAAATGAGGGACAGAGGAACAGGGTTTAGAATGACATCAGGAAGCAGAAAACATCAGAACAGATGAATACAGAATGCAGATCACTCCCACCGGAGAGGGACCCTGCTTCTGTGAAATAAGAGGAGTCTGATCAGATGTAAAATGACATATACATTATAACTAAGAGCAATGTTTGGGCCTTGTTTTGACCCTGATTTGAACAAATTATTGGAGAAGATGTTTATTTTGAGTCAAATTGGTAAAACATCAGAGCATTGCTATGGACTGAGTATTAAATGGTATCAGGAATTACTGTTAACTTTTATATGTGTGTTAATTTGCTGTGTTTACTTAAGAAAATATTGTTTTTGTTTTTGAGAAATGAAGAAGTAAAATGATGCCTGGAATTTGCTTCAGCAAAGACAATTAAAAAAAAAAGAAATATCTCTAAATCTTGAAACCTTTGAATATGTAGATTCATTTTACTATTTTCTCTCCTCATTTGTCTGAAGTATTTAATAAAAGAAAATATTTAAAGTGATTGAAAAAAACCTTGAGGACTAGAGGATATTTAAATTTTCTCTAGGTAATTACCTTCTCTGTCTTGAGTTACTGTCTACCAGCCACATGTGGCTATTGAACACTTAAAATATTGCTAGTATGAATTGAGATATGCTGTATATATAAAACACATCCTTGATTTCAAGGACTTTGTATAAGGAAAAGGAAAGTAAAATACAGTATTCATAATTTTAAAATATTTATATGTTAAAGAAATGATATTTTATGAACTTTAGGTTAAAATATATTACTACAATTAATTTCTTCTCTTTTACTTTTATGTAACTACTAGAAAAGATAAAAGTACATGGGTGGCTTGATGGAGGTTGAGGAAAGAAAAGCATGCTATGTAATACTGTATTCCAAACAGAGGTATGTACAAGTTTCTTAGCTTTCAAAAGCTGAGGAAGGACTAGAACAGCTAATGGAATTTTGCACATAGTCACAGCACACTGATTATTTTCAGTACATAATCCCAGCCCCCTGATTTCTTTCAATCCAGTGTCAATTAAAGTCAAAGGTTCATAGAAGAGGGACTTCCAAAACAGGAAGTCGAAGCTAATTCTTAGTCTCCTGCTATATTGGGGGAGCATGACAAGATAGCATTAAATTGGCAAAGCTATTAAACACTAGTCAACTAAGAATTAAAAATCCTTTCATAAAACAGGACATTCAAACCTTTTGTAATACAAGGATAGTGAACATTTGAAGCCTTTGGTTGCTACAGTCATTTAAATTCTTAAGAAAAACCATTTCTGTTGAACTGGTTTTATACATATTAGTTTGTACATATCAAATCATTTTAGAGATCTGTATTTAGAAAAAATGATATTACTAAGCATTCTTATAGTTCTCCCATGTTTTTAAAAACAATATCTACTTGATAATAATGTGACTATATAAAAGCAGAATCACAGTGTTCAGTTTTAAAATTGAAGACAATCAGGAACATATGACAAACTGAGTAGTTTAAGGGTTTTTTTTTTTGAGGGGTAGTTTTCCACTGCTGGTTGATAAAGTACAATCAGCTGCTCACAACCATTTGGGGAGGTTGTGTCTACAGCTCATAACTCCCAATTCTGATGAGCACATTTCCTTATGAAACCTCAAATGTCTACATGTCTAATTGCTTCATTCTTCCAACTTCTATTTCTTGATAAGCTCTATGAGGAAGGAAATTGAAATATGAACAGTATAATAGTCACTTGGTACATGGGCAGACTGTAGCTTGGCATGAACCAGGCAGTCTATTGGCAAACATAAGTGACTATGCAACTCTACCAGGTCCCTGAGGAGCAGCAGCTTTCAGGGATCGTAGGCGATTGTGCATTTTTAATAGGCGCTACAATGCATTTAAGAAGCCTGATTTACCAAGGGAAGACTTCTTGTTTTGCTTTTGTATGTGGCCGCATCAGCAGTAAAGGAGGGTGTTGGGAGCTCCTCCGATGTTCCTGGGCAGTGGTCTTATAGTCTTGGGCAAGATCTAACATGCAAGATGAACAGGAGCTTGAACTATGCATCCAGTACCACATTCCACTACTGCTGTTTAACAAATAATAAATCAATAATGGCAGTGAGGAAATTTTAGAGGACCACATTCAGGGTCTAAAAAATCAATATACATACATGTTCTTTTAAGTAGTGTCTAGAGGGTTTGAGGTATTGATTGGTTGGGGGAAGTCCAGCCTTGCCTGTATATTTCACTGGTTTAATTTAGTGTAGGATGGTAGGGATTGGAAATATTCAAAACCAATTGAATTCTAGAGTGACAGTATAATTTAAATATAATTCAAATCCAAAGTGCTCCTATTGAAATGTTGCAATTATTGACAAAATACAATAAAAAGGAACCTAAATATATTATTTAACTTACTGGTTTTGTCAAGTGCAAACAGTGAGGAGCTGACAAAGACTTCTTGTCTGATAAATATGTCTGGAAACTGAGTAAGAAAGTTTGGAAATGTGCAATTACATGAATGAGTGAAGAGAGGAAAAATTCTGTTAAATGACCTTAAATCTCATGTGTAGGGATGACTTTTTATTTATAGTTGTTAAGTATATGAAATAATTATATTAAACTTATAATGTTCCTAAATACATTTACCAGCAAATATTTCAGTGTTCAACAATAAAATCTTTTATGAATGCTAAATAAAAAATGAAAGAATTCTGCTTTACTAGATAAAAGTAGTGAACTTTATATTAAAATACACTTTCTTTTCTAAGAAATTAATATTACCTAGTAAAACCAAATCCAAATCAAAGTAAGAGAAATAAAACATGCACATGCATGTAGGTTTTCAGAGGTCCTTAGAATAAACAGGTCAAGGTAGTTATTATTTAAATCTACTGACAAGTGAAATAACAATGGCCTAGACTGCTCCATTAATTGCTTTAAAAAGGTGCATAGCTCTTTTTTGAAGAACTAAGATTAGAATCTGATTTTATTAACTGTCAGCCTTATTTCCCCATCTACAAAACATAATATTTAAGCTTGGGAATTTCTAGTTGTAGGCAGTTTTATTACAATTTTGTAAGAACAGGAGCAATATAGTTCTAGAAATATTAACATACTTTGACATAGAATAAAACTTGTTTCTCTTGCTTTTTATACTATTATCTAAATAATGGTGTTACATACTCTACATGTTTTGCTCACTGCTGCCAGAGACTCACAACCAGGTGAACTGCATGGCTCCTGGATGACACATCTTACCACGTGTTCCCTTCCTCTCCTTAACAACTGGGCAGCAGTGTATGAGCACCAGGAATAGCTAAAGTAGTTCTCTTTATGGGCTGGAGGATAAGGTTAAAATAAAATGCAAAGGGAAGAAAGAACTTTTCTAATTCCCCCAGCTTGGAGAGAGAATTTTGCAGCAATCTATAGAGCTAAAAGAGAAAGATCTAGCTTATTAATGATCAAATTTCTGGCACACTATACCAGTATAGTGTACTATGCTACTGTAGTGCCTTTCCTATTGCAGGCCCTCAACTCAACAATTCAGCAAGGATTTGAGTGTTTATTATGTACCAGCTACTGTTTGAGGTATCTGAGATACAACAAAACTGGAAACAAAAATGACTGCTCTCACAGGACTTACGTTCCAGTGGAGTAACACAACAAACATAACAAATTATATAGAATGTTAGAAAGCAGTAGTGATATGAAAAGAAAATTGTTGAACTGGGAACTAGAACTATGTAAAAAGAACTGAAAAGTTAGTTGCCTAAGGTTAAAATTAAAGATCTATAGTGTTTATTTAAAAAATAGGATTATATGGGATACACTATAATAGATACTGGGGATCTGAAGATGAATAACATGCCGTCTTTATCTTCAATGACATTATAGTTTCATAAGACAGACCAATATGGATGTATGGAGATAATAATACTGCGGCATGTAACATGTTATATTAGCAGTGGAAAAAATGTTAAGAGGGAAATTCTATGTGCAGGGATGGGAAAGAAGAATGCTAGAGAATGCTACTAATACGGAAGAAGGCTGGAGTTGTTGGAGGAAGGATTTCCAGCACATCCTTTTAATTAGCTTTGTTACTAACATTTGAATGATTACCTATTATTATCTCATTGTAAAAGTAATCTATTTTTAACAGGAAAGCTAGCTAGGAAAATACATACTGCAAGAGATGGATTGATTTTAACAGTGAATTAATTAACAAATGTTAAACTCCCTGAGGACAAGATTTAGCTTATTTTTTATATAGTATATTTTATACATACTTTATTGCATAGTATTTATTGAATTTAATTTTAGAACAGATATCCTAACAAAACTTCATGACTTGTATCATTTTATTTTACCAAAAGTTATATTTTCAAATATGTTGTGTCCCTGAGATTCTTATTTTTACATTAGAAGAGGTTGTATTTTGTACAAGTTGTTTCATGCTAAATCTTAACCTACTTTTTCATATAGGTAATAGAGTCTGTGCTGATCTTATACTATAAAGAAAGGTAATTTTGAGGTTTTAGTTGCAAAATCTCTTTATCAGAGTTGGTAATCATAATTTGTAGACTCAAATACACATCTAGAATTGGTCTAATACCTTGACTTGCAGTTTTGCTTCTCTCAGTTGACCTTTCCATGAAGCTACAAACTTAAAGCTGTCCACAGAGCAGCCCATGGCCCTGTAAAAGTAAAGCATCAAATGTCAGAAACACTTTATTCTGAGAAATTAAAATATTAAAAGTTAACAGAAGATATATTCCTATTTATTTATAATTGAAATATTTACAATGTGTCAGTGATCAGATTTCAAACTGTGTACAATATTTTAGACTTCATACTATGTTTTTAACTGGTTAAAACTTTAGACTTTAAGTCTCCTCTTCAAAGGCTGTGCAAGTTCCTTGAGGGTATGTCTTTTCTTTTTTAGTCTTACATCCTCCATTTTTAACATCACCCTCAAATGCAGGCACATGTTAGGTGGTCAATAAATGTTTATTAGCCAAACTGAATACTGATATTTGTAATATGATCCTGAGATATACATATTGAAATTTCCCCAAATTACAAACAACTAAATTTTGTTCTGTATATTTTTGGAAGTTATCTCTTTTTTTTACATCAAACTTACTAAAAATTATAGTCTATATATGATATTTTCTCACCAAAAAGTCTAGTCAGTACTGTCTACCAGAATTTTCTGCAAAGATAAATGTTTTCATGCAGTCCAAAGTGGTAGCCACTGGCCACATGTGATAGTTAAGCACTTCAATGTGGCTAGGGTGACTAAGAAATTATTTTTTTATTTTTAACTTTAATTCATTTAAATTTAAATAGCTCCTTTGACTTCTACCTGCTATACTAGACACACCAAGTCTAGATAAATAATTAAAAATTTAGAAATTTCACCTTGTTCAATTTTAATAAAAAACATAATTAAAAGCAATACCTTTTAAACTATAATTTAACTGTATAATTAAAAATCAAGTACTGGAAATTACCTGGTTTCAGCAAAAAATTTATTTCTTGATAATCAAGGCAATGTATCAAAATAAAGCAAAGTAAAAGTATCTTAAGGGCAAATAAGTAACTTATTTCATTTTAATTACCTTGCACTTTCCTGGCGAAGAGCATTGAGAAATGTATCTGGGTGGAAGAGTTCTGATAGGTCAAGTGTATCAGAGAGAAGAGCTTGTTTTTCAGCTCTTTCTACCCAGCTCTAGAAGGAGGAAAATACACACACACAGAGACCACATTTAAACACTTTGCAAATTTGAAAGACAAATCTATTAAAGGACTAATATGCAGAATTCACTTTCAATGAGAAGGTTATGCAGTTTCCTAATGTTTTGAAACAGGATTGGAGAAAACGTTTTCCACTTTACATTGTGAAGTCTGCTAGTTTTTTTGACATAGCCATCCATCACCAAAAACCTTCCTTGTATAACCCTTTGCTGGTAAAAAATCTACTCAGAAT